CTACTAAACATTTTTAAAATATGTCAAAAGGCGTTAACCACTTGGCAATTTTAGCATGTAAAATCTTTCCGCGATCGCTAAAGCTTATTACCCCAGAAGCATTCACGGGAATGGAGGTTTTTTCCAATAGGTTCTGTGTCAGCTTCCAATGTTCATACGCATACCAAATCGTGCGATGAGTGTGTACCACTTCAGTAGACAATATTTCCTGGATAAGTGTACATCGTAAGCATTAATAGACAATAGCCATCTTAGACAGATTCAGCTTGGACGATCAATGCAGACCCGGTGATTTGAATTAAGAAAGATGTAGAGGATTTTATGCACAGATCTTAATTATTCCTAGATATGTATGTGTTGAATGTATATTGGAGTGGCGCTATTGTGGCTGGTGGGATAATTTCAATACTAGCAAACGGCCACGCAATTACTTTGGTGATTAGGTGCAGTATGCGTGGTCTTCGATTTCCAAGCAACCATATTGAATGCTCCATTCAGCTAATTCCACACAGAAGACGTTATTGCTGCTACCTGCGGACGCTTGTTTCAGCAGCGTGACTATTATCTCTATTGTTTATGGTATTTCGGCACACGCTGTTATAAATTCGTCAACCGAGAACCACCACTGTTTCGGACAGGACGCTGTGATGACTTACGCGTAAAGTTGCCTTTTGTGAACGCGACTGCGGCAGTCTCTACTTTGCTTCATTCTATCAGTTTCCACCCCTCCTTCCGATGGCATACCAGCGGCAATATGGGTTTGAGTTCAATAACTGACGACGTTAACCAGCAAGTCAGTGTGTGACAGTCATGTACTTGACCCGAATTTCGTATGTGCCAGACTTTCCCGAGGGGGTCTAAAATCTCACACCAGTGAAGCAACCATTAAGGCCAAAGTAGGAAAGAACCATTGCAGCCTGACCGTCAGTCTTGTCGGTTGGCAACATTCCAACATTCTTGGTAGTTTGAAACTCTGTTCGGTTTTGTATGTTGAGGGTACTCAATGTATGATTTTGTCCTGCCGCGGCCAAACTTAGGTTGACATGTTCAAGTACTTAACTTTCAGCACGTTCATAGTCTGAACACTTTTGTTCATCCTCTGCTTCCTCAGGTCCAACATCAGTCATTTTGTCCCTATATTTCCTTCACGTTTTCTTATTCAGGTTTTTGTTCTGTTTCTTTCTAGATATAACCATACCGCTGCTCACTGAAGAGGCTCTGAGCGATCTCTGATCCAGGTCACACAACTGGCGCTTTGTTCAGCGCTT